AGCGCCTCCGAGCAGAGTCCGATGGAGCTTGGAGGGGCTGGCGCTAGAGGGAGAAGAGGAAGGAACCCGAGGGGGGCAGTCTCCTGCACCAAGTGTGGCCGCGGAGGGCACACCGCGGCTAGGTGCTGGGGAGGGTCCCCTGATGAAGGAGATGGCAGGTCATACAGTGGGGAGTTCACCCAGGTGAGTAGGCGCCCTACTTACCCAGAGCTTTCTGTCGTGCACATTACATTACCTGTTTGTTTCCCACAGGTTGCACCTCGTTCCCAGCATAAGGCGCTAGTCGATTCAGGCGCAGCTGGGAATTTTGTAGATCGGAGATTCTGTGTTAAGTTAGGGATTCCCCTCCTTCCAGTCGAGAACCCCTTTCCCGTACATGCCTTAGATAGTCGTCCGTTAGGATCTGGGTTGATTGGGGAGGTCACAGCGCCACTTAGGATGATGACGCAGGGGGGTCATGAGGAGACGATTCAACTCTATCTGATTGACTCTCCTGCGTATCCGGTGGTACTGGGGCTTCCCTGGTTGATTACCCATGATCCTACTATTTTGTGGCGAGAGAAGGCTCTTAAAGGGTGGTCTGCTCAGTGTGAGGGGTTATGTCTGGGTGTTTCCGTAGGGGCGACCTCGGTGGAGAGTCCGAACCAAATGTCAGCACTGCACATTCCTCCTGAATATGAGGATTTGGCACTCGTGTTTAGTAAGACCAGAGCGGCCTGGTTGCCACCTCATAGACAGGGGGATTGTGCGATAGACCTCCAGACAGGAGCCGCGCTTCCGCGGAGCCATGTGTATCCCTTGTCACAGGAGGAGAAACGGGCAATGGAGACTTACATTGCCGAGTCTCTGAGACAGGGATACATACGGCCCTCTACTTCTCCCGCGTCCTCGAGCTTCTTTTTTGTGAAGAAGAAGGATGGAGGTCTGCGTCCGTGTATTGATTACCGCGGTCTCAATCAGGTGACTGTGAAATATAGTTATCCACTCCCGCTGATTGGGACTATGACGGAGTCATTGCACGGGGCACGGTTCTTCACAAAATTGGACCTCAGGAGCGCATATAACTTGGTGCGCATTAGGGAGGGCGATGAGTGGAAGACAGCATTTAGTACTACCTCCGGCCATTACGAGTATCTCGTCATGCCATATGGGTTAATGAATGCTCCATCAGTCTTCCAATCGTTTGTAGATGAAATTTTCCGGGACATGCAGGCGCAAGGAGTAGTGGTGTACATAGCTGATATTCTTGTGTACAGTTCTACTCGGGCCGAGCATGTAGCCCTGGTGCGCAGGGTATTGAGGAGACTGTTGGAGCATGACCTGTATGTCAAGGCTGAGAAATGTCTGTTCTTTCAGGAGTCAGTTTCCTTTTTGGGTTACCAGTTGTCTGCGTCAGGGGTGAGAATGGAGGTGGACCGAGTGTCCGCCGTGCGTAATTGGCAAACCCCAATGACGGTTAAAGAGGTGCAGCGGTTCTTGGGTTTTGCGAATTACTACCGGAGGTTTATCCGGGGTTTTGGACAGGTGGCAGCTCCCATCACGTCTCTTCTGAAGGGGGGTCCGGTGCGCTTGCAGTGGTCGGCTGAGGCGGACAGGGCTTTTGGGAGACTGAAGGACCTGTTTACCTCGGCTCCGGTGTTGGCGCACCCGGATCCCACTTTACCCTTCCAAATTGAGGTGGACGCGTCTGAGGCCGGTATCGGGGCCGTTCTTTCTCAACGATCTGGTACACCACCTAAGCTCCGCCCCTGTGCTTTTTATTCTAAGAAGCTCAGTCCGGCGGAGCGGAATTATGACGTAGGGGACAGGGAGCTGTTAGCCGTAGTACAGGCCCTAAAGGTGTGGAGGCATTGGCTTGAGGGGGCTCAGCACCCTTTCCTCATTCTGACCGATCATTGGAACCTGGAATACATTCGGGCAGCTAGGAGACTGAATCCTCGCCAGGCTCGATGGACTATGTTTCTCGCCCGGTTTGTGTTTAAGATCACTTACATCCCTGGGTCCCAGAACGGGAAGGCAGATGCTCTGTCCCGTCGGTATGACGCGGAGGAGAGGTGCGTGGAGTCCATTCCCATACTACCGGAGTCTTGTCTGGTGGCACCGGTGGTGTGGGAGGTCGATGCGGAGATCGAGCGGGCGTTACGTACCGACCCTAGTCCTCCACAGTGTCCGGTGGGTCGGACGTACGTCCCGCTCGAGGTCCGGGATCGGCTGATTTATTGGGCTCACACGTCCCCCTCCTCTGGACATCCGGGTATTGGCCGGACGGTGCACTGCCTTAGTACGAAGTACTGGTGGCCAACGTTAGCCAGGGATGTGAGGGTTTATGTCTCCTCCTGTTCAGTGTGTGCCCAGTGTAAGGCGCCCAGACACTTGCCCAGGGGTAAATTACAGCCCCTGCCCGTTCCACAACGACCCTGGTCTCACCTATCGGTGGATTTTGTTACCGATCTTCCCTCCTCACAGGGGAATACCACCATCTTGTTCGTTGTGGATCGGTTCTCAAAGGCCTGTCGTCTCCTTCCCATGCCGGGTCTTCCTACTGCCCTACAGACCGCTGAGGCTCTATTTACTCACGTCTTCCGGCATTACGGGGTGCCCGAGGATATAGTGTCCGATTGAGGCCCCCAGTTTACCTCCAGAGTCAGGAGAGCATTTATGGAACGTTTGGGGGTCTCGGTGAGCCTTACCTCGGGTTACCACCCGGAGAGCAATGGGCAGGTGGAACGAGTCAACCAGGATGTGGGTAGGTTTCTGAGGTCATATTGTCAGGGCCGGCCGGAGGAGTGGGCGAGATATGTGCCTTGGGCAGAGATGGCACAGAACTCTCTTCGCCACTCCTCCACTAGACTAACTCCTTTCCAGTGTGTCTTAGGGTACCAGCCGGTTCTGGCACCGTGGCATGAGAGCCAGATCGAGGCCCCCGCTGTGGATGAGTGGGTGCGGCGCTCGGAGGAGACGTGGAACGCTGCACACGTCCATCTGCAGCGTGCCATACGTCGACAGAAGACGAGCGCCGACCTACACCGCAGTGAGGGGCCAGTGTACGCACCTGGAGATCGAGTCTGGCTCTCAACCAGAAACCTGCCCCTCCGCCTGCCCTGCCGGAAGCTGGGTCGGCGGTTTGTGGGGCCTTTTAAAGTCCTGAGGAGATTGAACGAGGTGTGTTATAGGTTAGAACTACCTATTGATTACAAGAATGTTAACCCCTCGTTCCATGTGTCTCTCCTCAGGCCGGTGGTAGCTGGTCCACTCCAGGACTTTGAGATTGAGGAGACTCCTCCGCCCCCGTTGGACATCGAGGGGGCTCCGGCGTACACTGTTCGGACCATCCTGGATTCAAGACGCCGGATGGGGGGTCTCCAATATCTCGTGGAGTGGGAGGGGTACGGTCCGGAGGAGCGGTGCTGGGTGCCGAAGAGGGACATTCTGGATCCGTCCCTGATGACCGAATTCCATCGTGGTCATCCTACGCGCCCTGCTCCGCGTCCTCCTGGTCGTCCCCGAGGCGCGTCAAGGGGGGGGGTACTGTCACGGTTTCGGCCGAGGCGGCTCCTCCTCCTTGTTCGGGCAGGTTTCGCCGGTCGTCGTCTCCGGAGTACTAGCTGCCACCGATCTATGTTTCTTGTGTGATTGGTTTTGTCTGTTAGTCACACCTGTTTTGTGTTATGTCTCATTAAGCACCCTATTTAGTTTCCTTGTTGTTAGTTTAGTGTTGTGTGTAATTGTTTGTGTTGTGTTGTTTAGCTACCTGTGTTCGATACGCTTTTGTCGTAGCTTCCTCCTCGGTTGAGGAGAGTATTTCGCACCTGTGTGTGCGCTCTCGTCATTTTGACGCTTGTGTGCGTTTTTGCCTCTGGGCTGTTTGGATTATTTTGAACGCTCTAGTAAAGTCTTGTTGGACTTATCCTCTGCTTCCTGCGCCTGATTCTACACCACACCATTCCACAGCAACGTGACAGACACTCTAAAATACGAAGCGTGCATCGGCCCATTGGGAGTGCATAGGGGACACTCTAAAATACGAAGCGTGCATCGGCCCATTGGGAGTGCATAGGGGACACTCTAAAATACGAAGCGTGCATCGGCCCATTGGGAGTGCATAGGGGACACTCTAAAATACGAAGCGTGCATCGGCCATTGTGAGTGCATAGGGGACACTCTAAAATACGAAGCGTGCATCGGCCATTGCGAGTGCATAGGGGACACTCTAAAATACGAAGCATGCATCGGCCATTGTGAGTGCATAGGGGACACTCTAAAATACGAAGCGTGCATCGGCCATTGGGAGTGCATAGGGGACACTCTAAAATACGAAGCGTGCATCGGCCATTGGGAGTGCATAGGGGACACTCTAAAATACGAAGCGTGCATCGGCCATTGCGAGTGCATAGGGGACACTCTAAAATACGTTAATACATAGTTAAAGTCCTGCAGGAAGAGCTACGACGCTAATTTTAGTGTAAATTCTTCACGTTTCATGGACCCAAGATCCAGAGGTAACACTGTACAGTACAATAGAAGTTTGCCCCATTGCAATTCTGTAGTCTAATACAGCCACAGTGTGACTTTAACTATTATTTTTGGGTGTGTCAAATTAACTACTTATTGTCTTTTGGTTAATTAATATAACAACATTCCAACCTTGTTCAGCTTTACCTAGTCCAGATATGGCATTATTCCACTATTTGTATCCGTTTGCATCAGTTTCAATATGGGACTCTTATTCTGAAGGCGAACCGCAAATTCCATTGTGGCTCATCCTTATTGTGGCTAGCTTCACACCTTTCCGATGGGATAAAACAATCACCCGCAAGGTGTACTGTCCCAAGCAGAATACCGAGAAGAGCAAAGGTCGGTAGTCGAACTGCACTAGAACCGGACAGAAAAAAACAAAAACAAAAACCTGTCAGACCATTGGACAAGTGAACTCGAACCGAGCCTGAGAGAAAACGGGACCTTTGTTTTTAGAAGCAGCAGGGAGCCGAACCGGAGGAAAGATGAGTTTTCTGCCCTACTTCTCTGCTGAGACCTGGACACTCCTGGCCCTCCTCATCACCCTCATAGTGGTGTAAGGACTTCAAATGAAATTGTATTACATCAAATCAAATGTTATATGCCACATGCATCGTAGTTAACCGGTGGAGACTAACAGTGAAATGCTTACTTAGGGGTCATTTTCCAACAATGCAGAGTTAAAGATATGTTTTTATTTTTTGTAAATACTTCTCTAGAATATATTACTAGTTAATGTGTGTGTGTATGTGTATAGGTATGGATACTGGCCCTATGGTGTATTCACTAAGATGGGGATCCCTGGACCCAAACCCCTACCTTACCTTGGCACAATGATGGAGTATAAAAAGGTTTGTAATATTAATATAATAATAATAATAATATGCCATTTAGCAGACGCTTTTATCCTCAACACTGACCTGTTTCAGGTATGTTCTCTGTTCAGGCATGAATCAGCTGTTTTCTCTCTCTCTCTCTCTCTCTCTCTCTCTCTCTCTCTCTCTCTCTCTCTCTCTCTCTCTCTCTCTCTCCAGGGTTTCACTAACTTTGACACAGAGTGCTTTCAGAAGTACGGGAGAATCTGGGGGTGAGTTCAGTTGGCTGTACCGTAATAGGATGACTCACAACTGTACTATGCTCTTTCCTTACAATTCATCACCTGCTCAAGCTATCATGTGACCATGAATAATACTATGAATAATAATATCAACAACAATAATATTTTATATGTAATTTTATATGACGTGGTTTAAGCCAGGTGTCTGTGTGTTTCTCCTCTGTGAAGGATCTATGATGGGAGGCAGCCTGTTCTGTGTATCATGGACAAAAGCATGATCAAGACCATCCTGATTAAAGAGTGTTACAACATCTTCACCAACCGCAGGGTGAGACACACACACACACACACACACACACACACACACACACACACACACACACACACACACACACACACACACCCTAATAATAATAATCCTAACATCATTATTTATATTATTAATACATTATCTGTGGAATTCATGTAAATATGAAAGACTTCCATCTGAAAGGTGAGCTGTTTGATAATTATTACAACTGTCCTCCATGTTTTAGAACTTCCATCTGAACGGCGAGCTGTTTGATAATTATTACAACTGTCCTCCATGTTTTAGAACTTCCATCTGAACGGAGAGCTGTTTGATAATTATTACAACTGTCCTCCATGTTTTAGAACTTCCATCTGAACGGAGAGCTGTTTGATGCGTTGTCCTTTGCCGAGGACGATACATGGAGACGGATCCGCAGTGTCCTCTCTCCTTCCTTTACCTCCGGACGACTAAAAGAGGTAGAACCATCCCTCCATCTCCCTCATCCTTTTATCATCTGTCATTTCTACTCCTGTTTTATCAATTCATTATAAACTCATTATAGCTTGTTATAAACTCTTTATAAACCCATTTTGAAGAAGTTATAAACGTATAAATGTTATAAACTTGTCTCCCGAGTGGTGCAGTGGTCTAAGGCACTGCATCGCAGTGCTAGCTGTGCCACTAGAGATCCTGGTTTGAATCCAGGTTCTGTCGGGCGGCGCATAATTGGCCCAGCGTCGTCCAGGGTAGGGGAGGGAATGGCCGGCAGGGATGTTGCTCAGTTGGTAGAGCATGGCGTTTGCAACGCCAGGGTTGTGGGTTCGATTCCCACGGGGGGGGGCCAGTATGAGAAATAAAATAATGTATGCGCTCACTAACTGTAAGTCGCTCTGGATAAGAGCATCTGCTAAATGACTAAAATGTTATAAACCTATTATCAACGAGTTTAAACTCCTCTCTCTCCTCTAGATGTATGGTTTCATGAAGCAGCAGTCTGCTAAACCTGCTGCCCAACTCTCTCTCTCCCATACTCTCTCTCTCTCTCCATTCTCTCTCTCTCTTCTCTGTCTCTCTTCCTCTCTCCTCTCTCTCTCTCTCTCATCTACTCTCTCTCCCTCGCTCTCTCTCCCTCTCTCATTCTCCTACCTCCCCTCATACTGAATCGCTCTCTCTCATTCTCTCTCCTCCATCCTCTCTCTCTCCTCTCTCTCCCTCTCTCTCTCTCTATCCTCTCTCTCCTTCTCTTCTTCTCTCTCTCTCTCTCCTCTAGATGTTTGGTATCATGAAAGCAGCACTCCTCTACCCTGCTGAATGGAATGAAGAAGCAGGCAGATAAAGACCAGGCCATCGAACTGAAGGAGTGAGTCCTGACCTCTAACCTCTGACTTTTCACCTTACACCTTAAAAAAAAATTTTGAATCACCTTTGGCAGCGATTACAGCTGTGTGTCTTTGCACACCTAGATTGTACAATATTTGCACATTATTATTTTTATTATGTTGTGGAAAATGGTCTTTGTCCTCCGTCAAACACAAAGTACTTTCAGAGTTTTTTGTAGAATTAAAATAGACTTAATTACAATCAATATAGCCGAGGTGGTCTGCAGAGCATCTAACTTTCCACTTCTCAGCTCTCAGTTTACACAGTCAATTTACATTCATTTTAGCTTAATCCCTCCCTCTTTGGTTCCTCCACCACTGTCTCCAGTTTTCACCTCTTGACTGCTCCGCCCACTTCCTTAATGGCGGTATCTGACTTCCCTCCCTTCTAGTTCCGTGTCTGGAAACAATAGTGGTGGGACCAAGCCCTGTCATGCAAAAATAACAGCCCTGTCATGCAAAAATAACAGCCCTGTCATGCAAAAATAACAGCCCTGTCATGTAAAAATAACGGAGCCCTTTCCTGGCTCCGTTCTGACCTCCAAACCTATCAATCGATACTTAAACATGGCAGGTCCATAATCAATTTCTCAAACATACCTCCTCCCTCTCTACCACCCAGTCCAAAACGCCCCCGTCATGTTGTGATCAACCATGTTTAGTCTGAACTCTGTTCAACCCCTGGCTCCGTTCCAGGACTATGCCTAAGGAGAGAGGCAAAGGGCAACAGTCTGGTTTCAGTCACTGATAAGGCTTAGAGTGGATTAGAGAGGAAGAGAGGAGCTTGAAGAGAGAAGAAACAGTTTACTGAGTCTGAAAAGATCCACACTATAGTCCACTGAAAAATCTTCATAAAACATTCTTCAAGCTCTGTCAAGTTGGTTGTTGATCATTGCTAGACAGCCATTTTTCAAGTCTTGCCATAGATATTCAAGCCGAATTTAAGTCAATACTGTAACTAGGCCACTCAGGAACATTCAATGTCGTCTAAGTAAGCAACTCCGGTGTATATTTGGCCTTGTGTTTTAGGTTATTGTCCTGCTGAAAGGTGAATCTGTCTGGTTGAAAGCAGACTGAACCAGGTTTTTGTCTAGGATTTTGCCTGTGCTTAGCTCTATTCGGTTTATTTTTATCCTAAAAAACTCTCTAATCCTTGCCGATGACAAGCATACCCATAACATGATGCAGCCACCACCATGCTTGAAAATATGAAGAGTGGTACTCAGTGATGTGTTGTGTTGGATTTGCCCCAAACGTAACACTTTCTATTCAGGGCATAAAGTTAATTGCTTTGCCACTTTTTTGCAGTTTTACTTTAGTAACTTGTTGCAAACAGGATGCATGTTTTGGAATATGTTTTATTCTGTACAGGCTTCCTTCTTTTCACTCTGTCATTTAGGTTAGTATTGTGGAGTAACTACAATGTTGTTGATCCATCCTCAGCTTTCTCCTATTATAGCCATTCAACTCTATAACTGTTTTAAAATCACTATTGGCCTCATGGTGAAATCCCTGAGCGGTTTCCTTCCTCTCCGGCAACTGTGTTAGGAAGGACGCCTGTATCTTTGTAGTGACTGGGTGTATTGATACACCATCCCAAAGTGTAATTAATAACTTCACCATGCTCAAAGGGATATTCAATGTCTTCTTTTTTTTATACCCATCTACCAATAGGTGCCCTTCTTTGCGAGGCATTGGAAAACCTCCTTGGTCTTTGTGGTTGAATCTGTGTTTGAAATTCACTGCTCGACTGAGGGACCTGACAGATAATTGTATGTGTGGGGTACAGAGATGAGGTAGTCATAAAGAAAATCATGCTAAACACTATCGTTGCACACAGAGTGACTCCATGCAACTCATTATGTGACTTGTTAAGCACATTTTTACTCCTGAGCTTATTTAGGCTTTCCATAACAAAGGGGTTGAAGACTTATTGACTCAAGATATTTCAGCTTTTCATTTTTAATTAATTCCACTTTGACACACATCACTTTGTGTGGAAGGCCAAGGTGACACAAAATCTAAATGTTATCCAATTTTAAAGTCAAGGCTGTAAAACAAGAAAAATATGGAAAAAGTCAAAAGGTGGTGAATACTTTCTGAAGGCACTGTATATAATATGACACTTAACAGACACTTTGATGTTTTTTGGGGCTATACCTGTATGGTTGTGGTCAGTAGTTGTGGTCAGTAGTTGTGTGGTTGTGGTCAGTAGTTGTGGTCAGTAGTTATGTGGTAGTGGTCAGTAGTTGTGGTCAGTAGTTGTGTGGTCAGTAGTTGTGGTCAGTGGTTGTGTGGTCAGTGGTTGTGGTCAGTAGTTGTGGTCAGTAGTTGTGGTCAGTAGTTGTGATTGTGGTAGTAGTTAGGGGGTTTGTGGTTTATGTTGGGGTGGGCGTAGTTGTGGTCAGTGGTTGTGTGGGGAAGGGGGTTTTGGTCAGTAATGTGGTCAGTTTGTTGTGGTCAGTAGTTGTGGGTGGTGGGTCAGTAGGGGAGTTGTGGTCAGTAGTTTTGTGTATTGGGGCAGAGGGTGTGGTCAGTAGTTTTTGTGGTCAGGGGTTTTGTGGTCAGGGGTTTTGGTCAGTTTTTGTGGTCAGTAGTTGTGGGTAAAGGGAGTTGTGGGTTTGGTCCGTTTTGTTTTGGAAATAGTTTTGGTCAGTAGTTGGGGTTTAATAGGTGTGTGGTTTTGGTCTAGTTTTGGGGCAGGAGTGTTTTGGGATGTGGTCAAATAGTTTTTGGGTCAGTAAATTGGGTAAGTAGTGGTGTGGGGTTTTTGGGCCAAATTTGTTTTGGTCAGTAGTTTTGTGGTTGTGGTAGTAGTTGTGGCGTGTTGGTAATTTTGGGGTTGGGGTTGAGGGGTTTTTGGGCCCACATATGGACGGGTTCACCCGCAACAAACCTTAGTGTGGAAAATTTACTCTCTGAAAAAACCCTTTAGGGCCCCCTTTTGGTCAGTGTTGGGGGTTTTGGTCAGTCGTTGTGGGTAAGTAGTTGTTTGGTCAGTGTTGTGTGGTTTGTAGTTTGGGGGGTTTGGGCAGTAGTTTTTGGTTAGGGAGTTGTGAGGTCAGCAGTTGTGTTTGGGCAGTAGTTGTGTGGTCGTTTGTTGTGGTCAGCCCCTTTGTGGTCAGTAGTTGTGTGGCCAGTTTGTTGTGGTCAGTCCCTTTTTGGCCAAAATAGTTGTGGTTCAGTGTTGTGTGGTAAAAATATTTTTTGTCAGTAGTTGTTTTGGTCAGTAGTTTGGTCAAATAGTTGTGGGCAGTAGTTTTTTGGTTTGAGGGTTTGGTTTTAGTTTTATGGTTAGTTTGTTTTGTGGTAAAAGTTTTTGGGGCAGTCTTTTGGGGCAGTGGTTTTGGTCAGGCGTTTGGTAATTTGTTGTTTGGGTTCCCAAAAGTTGTGGTAAAATAGTTTGGGGGAAATAGTTGTGGTAAAGGGGTTTTGGCCCGTTTTTGTGTGGTCAGTAGTTGTTGGGGCAGTCGTTTTGGTAAATGTTGGGGGGCCAGTAGTTTTGGTCAGTAGTTTTTGGTTTAGTAGTTGTGGTCCCGTAGTTTTGGCAAATTTTGTTGTGTGGCAGTTTGGTTTTTGGGCAGTATTTTGGTCAGAGTTGGTCAGTAGTTGTTTTGGCAAAAATATTTGGGGGTCAGTAGTTTTGGGGGTAGTAGTTTTGGGGCATCGTTTGGGGGGTCAGGAGGTTTTGGTTAGTAGGGGTTTTGTGATTGGGAGTTGTGTGGTTTAAAAGTTGTTGGGTTTGTAGTTGTGTGATCCGTTTTTGGGTTTTGGTCAGTAGTTGGGGGTCAGTGGGTGGTCAGTAGGTTTTGGGCAAGTAGTTGGGGGCAGTAGTTTTCGGGACCAAAAGTTGTGGCCAGTAGTTGTGGTCAGTAGTGTGGGTAAGCAGTTGTGTGGCCCAGGTCGCTGGGTCAGATTGTTTTGGTCAGTTAGTTGTGGGTCAGTAGTTGTTGGGATGTGGTCAAGTAGTTGTGGGTCGTCGTTGTGGGAAGTAGTTGTGTGGCTTTGTGGTCAGTAGTTTTGTGGTTCAGTCATGGTAAATTGTTGGTTGTGTTGCAGGTTCTTTGGCCCCTACAGTATGGACGTGGTCACCAGCACAGCCTTCAGTGTGGACATTGACTCTCTGAACAACCCTTCAGACCCCTTCGTCTCCAACGTCAAGAAGATGCTCAAGTTTGACATGTTAAACCCACTGTTCCTCCTAATCGGTGAGACCACACACACACACACACACAAACACACACACACACACGGAAGCAAAGTTGTTACTTTTTAATCACATAAAGTGATAAAACTTTTTATGAAAGGTTTCTCTTCTCCTCTCCCCTCCTTCTCCAGCGTTGTTCCCCTTCACGGGTCCTATCTTGGAGAAGATGAAGTTTTCTTTCTTCCCGACTCCGGTGACAGACTTCTTTTACGCTTCGCTGGCTAAGATCAAATCTGGACGCGGCACTGGGAACACAACTGTAAACGTTTTATATTTGTATTAAAATATTCTGAATTTATATATTGAACAAAAATATAAACGCAACATGCAAAAATTTCAACGATTTTACTGAGTTACAGTTCATATAAGGAAATCAGTCAATTGAAATAAATAGATTAGGCCCTAATCTATGGATTTCACATGACTGGGCAGGGGCGCAGCTATGGGTGGGCCTGGGAGGGCATAGGCCCACCAACTGGGGAGCCAGGCCCAGCCAATGAGAATGAGTTTTTCCCCACAAAAGGGCTTTATTACAGACAGAAATACTCCTCAGTTTCATCAGCTGTCCGGGTGGCTGGTCTCAGACGATCCCGCAGGTGGAGATCCTGGGCTGGTGTGGTTACACGTGGTCTGCGGTTGTAAGGCCAGTTGGACGCATTGTCAATGTCTCTAAAACAACGTTGGAGGCGGTTTATGGTAGAGAAATTAACATTCAATTCTCTGGCAACAGCTCTGGTGGACATTCCTGTCACGCCCTGACTGTGGGGACTCTTATTTGTTGAGTCAGGGTGTATATTTTCTATGTGGTGATTGTCTATGTTGTATATTCTAGGATTTGTATTTCTATGTTGGCCGGTGTGGTTCCCAATCAGAGGCAGCTGTCGCTCGTTGTCTCTGATTGGGGACCATACTTAGGCAGCCTATTGGCACTAGTGTGTTGTGGGATCTTGTTCCGTGTAGGTATGTTTTGTGTTCTACCTTGGACCTTGGATTAAAATAAACATGTACGCATATCACGCTGCGCCTTGGTCCGTCCCGTTCATCAACGATTGTGACAGAAGATCCCACCAAACGAGGACCAAGCAGCGTGTCCAGGAGCAGACAGCCTGGACCTGGGAGGAGATCCTGGACAGTAAGGGATCCTGGACTTGGGAGGAGATTCAGGCTGGGATGGATCGCCGTCCTTGGGAGGAGACAGTGGAGGCCCGGTATAGAGAGGAGAAACGGCGCCAACAGTGCCGACGACGGAGACCCGAGAGGCAACCCCAAGAAAATGTTTGGGGGGGCACACAGTGTGGACGATGAGGCAGCAGGAGGCCGTTAAAGGGCGGGTCTGCAGGTTAGGAGAGGAGGCCACCATGTTACGGGGGCTATTGGTTCAGAGGGAGCAGGAGTTATTCGGTCAGAGTGAGGCGCTACAGGAGGCTAAAAGGGAGAAGGAAAGTGTAGAGGCACGGCGAGAGGAGCTGGTTAGGCAGCAGAAGGAAGTGGTGCGTGTCGCCAGTCCGGTCCGGCCCGTTCCTGCTCCCCGCACTAAGCCAGTGGTGCGTGTTCCCAGTACGGCCCGACCCGTTCCTGCTCCTCGCCCCAAGTCAGTGGTGCGCGTCACCAGTCCGGCCCGTCCTGTTCCTGCTCCTCGCACCAAGCCAGTGATGCGCGTCGCCAGCCCGGCCCAGCCTGTTTCTGCCCCTCGCACCAAGCCAGTGGTGCGTGTCGCCAGCCCGGTCCGGCCTGTTCCTGCCTCTCGCACCAAGCCAGTGGTGCGCGTCGCCAGCCCGGTCCGGCCTGTTCCTGTCCCTCGCACCAAGCCAGTGGTGCGCGTCGCCAGCCCGGTCCAGCCCCTTCCTGCCCCTCAAACCAAGCCAGTGGTGCGCGTCGCCAGCCCGGTCCGGCCCGTTCCTGCCCCTCGCACCAAGCCAGTGGTGCGCGTCGCCAGCCCGGCCCGGCCCGTTCCTGCCCCTCGCACCAAGCCAGTGGTGCGCGTCGCCAGCCCGGTCGGGCCAGTTCCTGTCCCTCGCACCAAGCCAGTGGTGCGCGTCGCCAGCCCGGCCCAGCCTGTTTCTGCCCCTCGCACCAAGCCAGTGGTGCGTGTCGCCCAGCCCGGTCCGGCCTGTTCCTGCCCCTCGCACCAAGCCAGTGGTGCGCGTCGCCAGCCCGGTCCGGCCTGTTCCTGTCCCTCGCACCAAGCCAGTGGTGCGCGTCGCCAGCCCGGTCCAGCCCGTTCCTGCCCCTCACACCAAGCCAGTGGTGCACGTCGCCAGCCCGGTCCGGCCCGTTCCTGCCCCTCGCACCAAGCCAGTGGTGCGCGTCGCCAGCCCGGCCCGGCCCGTTCCTGCCCCTCGCACCAAGCCAGTGGTGCGCGTCGCCAGCCCGGTCGGGCCAGTTCCTGTCCCTCGCACCAAGCCAGTGGTGTGCGTCGCCAGCCCGGCCCGGCCTGTTCCTGCCTCTCGCACCAAGCCAGTGGTGCGCGTCGCCAGCCCGGCCCGGCCTGTTCCTGCCCCTCGCACCAAGCCAGTGATGCGCGTCGCCAGCCCGGCCCGTTCCTGCCCCTCGCATCAAGCCAGTGGTGCGCGTTGCCAGCCCGGTCCGGCCTGTTCCTGCTCCTCGCACCAAGCCAGTGATGCGCGTTGCCAGCCCGGCCCAGCCTGTTTCTGCCCCTCGCACCAAGCCAGTGGTGCGCGTCGCCAGCCCGGTCCGGCCTGTTCCTGTCCCTCGCACCAAGCCAGTGGTGCGCGTCGCCAGCCCGGTCCAGCCCGTTCCTGCCCCTCGCACCAAGCCAGTGGTGCGCGTCGCCAGCCCGGTCCGGCCCGTTCCTGCCCCTCGCACCAAGCCAGTGGTGCGCGTCGCCAGCCCGGCCCGGCCCGTTCCTGCCCCTCGCACCAAGCCAGTGGTGCACGTCGCCAGCACGGTCGGGCCAGTTCCTGTCCCTCGCACCAAGCCAGTGGTGCGCGTCGCCAGCCCGGCCCGGCCTGTTCCTGCCTCTCGCACCAAGCCAGTGGTGCGCGTCGCCAGCCCGGCCCGGCCTGTTCCTGCCCCTCGCACCAAGCCAGTGATGCGCGTCGCCAGCCCGGCCCGTTCCTGCCCCTCGCATCAAGCCAGTGGTGCGCGTTGCCAGCCCGGTCCGGCCTGTTCCTGCTCCTCGCACCAAGCCAGTGGCGCGTGTGTCCAGTCCGGCACGGCCCGTGCCTGTTCCACCGGTGCCTGGTTCGGCACCGGTCAGCTGCTCTACTCCGGAGCCAGAGCAGTCCGCTCCACCGGTGCCCTGTTCAGCTCCGGTCAGCTGCTCCACTCCGGAGCCAGAGCAATCCGCTTCACCGGTGCCCGGTCCAGCTCCGGTCAGCGGCTCCAGTCCAGACCCAGACGTCAGCCCCTCTCCAGGTTCGGGGTCTCCCACACCAGGGTCCAGACAGGGCTTGGAGTATCGTGGGAGGAAGGAGAGGGGAAGCAACGCGCCGAGGTCTAGACCAGACCAGGGGCGCAACAGGGAGGCAAAGAGTGAGAGGTCGTCACGCCCTGAGCCGGATCCGCCTCCGAGGCGGAATGCCCACCCAGCCCCTACCCTGTTATGTTTATGTTGTGCGGTCGGAGTCCGCACCTTTGGGGGGGGGTTACTGTCACGCCCTGACTCTGGGGACTCTTATTTGTTGAGTCAGGGTGTGTATTTTCTATGTGGTGATTGTCTATGTTGTATATTCTAGGATTTGTATTTCTATGTTGGCTGGTGTGGTTCACAATCAGAGGCAGCTGTCGCTCGTTGTCTCTGATTGGGGACCATACTTAGGCAGCCTATTGGCACTAGTGTGTTGTGGGATCTTGTTCCGTGTAGGTATGTTTTGTGTTCTACCTTGGACTTCACGTTTTGTTTGTTTATTGTTTTGTTGGTTGTTTATTCATTAAAATAAACATGTACGCATATTACGCTGTGCCTTGGTCTGTCCCTTTCATCAACGATCGTGACAATTCCTGCATGCCAATTGCACGCTCCCTCAAAACGTAAGACATCTGTGGCATTGTGTGACAAAACTGCACATTTTAGAGTGGCCTTTTATTGTCCACAGCACAAGGTGCACCTGTGTAATGATCATGCTGTTTAATCAGCTTCTTGATATGCCACACCTGTCATGTGGATGGATTATATTGGCAAAGGAGAAATGCTCACTAACAAGGATGTAAACAATATTGTGTACAAAACTTTTGAGAAATCACCTTTTTGTGAGTATGGAACATTTCTGGGATCTTTTATTTCAGCTCATGAAACATGGGAACAACACTTTACATGTTGCATTTATATCTTTGTTCAGTATATATTATGTTTAGGAAACCTATGTTTGTCAACGTTTGCTCTCTCCACCTGCCCATTACTCTCAGGGTGAAACGAGACCCCCAGATGGTCCATGAACGCCTTCCAGACCCTTGATGTAAACTGGGGACCCCGATCAGACACTATATCCTCAGGTACCCCGTAGTGCCGGAAGACGTGTGTAAACAGGGCCTCCGCGGTCTGTAGGGCAGTAGGGAAACCGGGCAAAGGAATGAGACAACAGGTCTTAGAAAACCGATCCACAACAACCAGGATCGTGGTGTTACCTTGTGACGGAGGAAGATCCGTATCAAAGTCCACCGATAGGTGTGACCACAGCCGTTGTGGAACGGGGAGAGGTTGTAATTTCCCTCTGGCCAAGTGTCTAGGTGCCTTGCACTGGGCGCACACCGAACAGGAAGAAACATAAACCCTCACGTCCTGAGCTAAGGTGGGCCACCAGTACTTCCCACTAAGACAGCGCACTGTCCGACCGATGCCAGGATGGCCAGAAGAGGGTGACGTGTGAGCACAATAGATCAAACAATCGCGAACCTCAGACGGAACGTACACACGACCCACTGGACACTGGGGGGGAGTGGGCTCCGTGTGTAACGCCCGCTCGATGTCCGCGTCAACCTCCCATACCACCGGTGCCACCAGACAAGAAGCCGGAAGTATGGGAGTGGGCTCCCTCGTCCGCTCCACTGAGTCATACAGCCGGGACAGAGTGTCTGCCTTAGCATTCTGGAAACCTGGTCTGTACGATAGGGTGAACACAAAACGCGTGAAAAACATGGCCCACCTTGCCTGACGAGGGTTCAGTCTCCTCGCTGCCCGTATGTACTCCAGATTGCGGTGGTCAGTCAAAATGAGAAAAGGGTGTTTTGCCCCCTCAAGCCAATGTCTCCACACCTTAAGAGCTTTCAAAACAGCTAACAGCTCCCGGTCCACCACATCATAGTTTTGCTCCGCCGGGCTGAGCTTCTTCAAAAATAAAGCACAGGGGCGGAGTTTGGGAGGCGTACCCGAGCGATGATACAGTACAGCTCCTATCCCAGCCTCGGACGCGTCCACCTCGACTGTGAATTGCAAGGAAGGATCCGGATGAGCCAGCACGGGAGCCAAGGTGAACAGCGCCTTCAGCTGACCAAAAGCCCTTCTGCCTCAGCTGACCACTGCAGGTGCACCGGTCCGCCCTTCAGTAAAGAGGTTATGGGAGCTGCTACCTGGCCAAAGCCCCGGATAAATCTCCGGTAGTAGTTGGCAAACCCCAAAAATCGCTGCACCTCCTTTACCGTGGTAGGAGTCGGCCAATTACGCACGGCTGAAATGCGGTCACACTCCATCTCGACCCCTGACTCTGACAGGCGGTATCCTAAGAAAGAGACGGACTGTTTGAAGAACAAACATTTCTCAGTCTTAACGTACAGGTCTTGCTCCAACAGTATACCAAGCACCTTGCACACCAGGGACACATGCGTGTAGCGGAGTATATGAGAATATAATCTATATACACCACTACACCCTGTCCGTGCAGATCCCTGAAAATCTCATCGACAAAGGATTGAAAGACTGAGGGAGCATTCATCAACCCGTACGGCATGACGAGGTACTCATAGTGACCAGAGGTGGTACTAAATGCCGTCTTTCACTCGTCCCCCTCCCGGATACGGACCAGATTGTACGCGCTCCTGAGGTCCAATTTTGTGAAGAAGTGCGCCCCGTGCAATGACTCTGTCATACTAGCTATGAGAGGTAGAGGATAGCTGTATTTTACGTTGTCTGATTTAGACCTCGATAGTCAATGCACGGGTGTAAACCTCCATCCTTCTTCTTCACAAAAAAGAAACTTGAGGGAGCAGGGGAAGTGGAGGGCCGAATGTATCCCTGTCCCAGAGATTCGGTGACATGTCTCCATAGCCACCGTCTCCTCCTGTGACAGAGGATACACGTGACTCCTGGGAAGTGCAGCGCCCTCCCGGAGAGCTATCGCACAATCCCCTCGTCGATGGGGTGGTAATTGAGTCGCCTTCTGCTCCGCGTCCTCCCACCAGGGCCCTGCCTGCTGCCTCGATTCCATGAGGGTCCTCTCCTGCACCGGCCCGCAGTGTGTCCTCTGCGGCCACAGTTGGTGCAGGAGACCACCCCCTTGCCGAGTCTCTCCACATCAGCACCTCTAAGCTCCATAGGAGTGGAGTCGGAAGTGCTGGGGGATGGACTGGATGGACCCTGATCCGGACGTCCGCTGGTGGCCAACAGGTTATCCAGCCGGAACTATAAATCTACCAGCTGGTCCAGGTTTAGATTCGTGTCCCTGCAGGCCAGCTCCCTACGAGCGTCCTCCCGTAGACTGCATCGGTAGTGGTCAATCAGGGCCCTCTTATTCCATCCCGCGCTGGCTGCCAGTGTCCTCAAATCCAGGGCGAAGTCCTGTGCGCTCCTCCTTCCCTGTCTGAGGTGAAACATACGCTCCCCTGCTGCTCTCCCCTCCGGCGAATGATCGAAATACTGCCCGGAAACGGCGGGTAAAATCCTCGTAACGTACGGACTCAGCATCTTTTCCACCCCACTCCGCGTTGGCCCATTCCAGCGCTCTACCCTACAGACAGGAGATGAGGGCGGACACGCTCTCGTATCCCGAGGGAGCCGGGTGGATGGTTGCCAGGTAGAGCTCCACCTGGAGCAGGAAACCCTTACACCCGGCAGCTGTCCCATCATATTCCCTCGGGAGCGAGAGCCGAATTCCACTGGATCTAGGGTTTGATGGTCTTTGATGGCGAAGAAATTGGAGGAGAAGGAAGTGTAGGAAAACCACCTCTCTCCCATCGATCCATGGTGTTCACCACTCGATCCACAGCCAAACCTAGAGCCTGCAGCATGGTCGAGTGCTGCTGGATGCGTTCCTCCACCGAGGCGCTGGGATCGGACGTGCCTGCTGACTCCATAGATGTGCGTGATTCTGTCAACGTCTGGGTGAAGTGGTGAAACGGAATCAGGCGCAGGACACAGAACTGAGAAATGGATTTACTAAAACAAAAGTAAACCATAACAAACCCTCCACGAAGGGAAGAGCAGTACAACAGCTCACCAAAACGAGGTAAAACAATGGACAATCACGCACAAACCCAGGAGGGAAAACAGAGGTCATTATAGGGAAACAAATAAGCATAATGGGTAACAGGTGTGAATAATAAAGACAGGACTAGTGTAACACAGAAACATCGATCGGTGGCAGCTAGTACTCCGGTGACGACGAAAGTCAAAGCCTGCCCGAACAAGGAGGGGAGGCAGCCTCGGAGGAAGTCGTGACAGTTTGTGTTGGTTGTGATTGGACCAGAGCCAGTAGAATCTGGTTGTGTTGGTTGTGATTGAACCAGATCCAGTAGAATATGTTTGTGTTGTTTGTGATTGGATGGATTTTACATCATTTATTTCTGCTTCCAGAGTCGGGTGGATTTCTTACAGCTGATGATCGACTCTCAGAAAGGCAGCGACACAAAGACAGGAGAGGAACAGACTAAAGGTACCTGCCAAACACACACCTGTAAATTTCTGTACAAACACACACCTGTAAACAATTATCTCTCTCTCCCCCCCCTCTCTCTCTACCCCCCCTCGCTCTCGCTCCTCGTCTTTCCCCCCCTCTCCACCCACCCCCTCTCTCATCCCCCCCCCCCCCTCTCCTCTCCCCCCCCACCTCTCTCGTCTCTCTCCCCCCTACTCTCTCCCTCTCTCTCTTCCCTCTCTCTCTCTCTCTCTCTCTCTCTCCCACAGGACTGACTGATCATGAGATCTTGTCTCAGGCCATGATCTTTATCTTTGCCGGCTACGAGACCAGCAGCAGTACTATGAGTTTCCTGGCCTATAACCTAGCTACCAACCCACATGTCATGACCAAACTGCAGGAGGAGATAGATACTGTGTTCCCCATCAAGGTAACCCCCACACCATGACCCAAACTGCAGGAGGAGATAGATACTGTGTTCCCCATCAAGGTAACCCCCACATGTCATGACCAAATGCAGGAGGAGATAGATACTGTGTTCCCCAACAAGGGTAACCCCCACACCATGACCAAACTGCAGGAGGATTAGATACTGTGTTCCCCAACAAGGTAACCCCCACACCATGACCAAACTGCAGGAGGAGATTAGATACTGTGTTCCCAACAAGGTAACCCCACACCATGACCCAAACTGCAGGAGGAGATAGATACTGTGTTCCCCAACAAGGTAACCCCCACACCATGACCAAACTGCAGGAGGAGATAGATACTGTGTTCCCCAACAAGGTAACCCCCACACCATGACCAAACTGCAGGAGGAGTTAGATACTGTGTTCCCCAACAAGGTAACCCCCACACCATGACCAAACTGCAGGAGGAGATAGATACTGTGTTCCCCATCAAGGTAACCCCCACACCATGACCAAACTGCAGGAGGAATTAGATACTGTGTTCCCCAACAAGGTAACCCCCACACCATGACCAAATGCAGGAGGAATTAGATACTGTGTTCACCCAACAAGGTAACCCCCCACACCCATGACCAAACTACAGGAGGAAATAGATACTGTGTTCCCCAACAAGGTAACCCCCCCCACCATGACCAAACTACAAGGATGAAATCAGATACTGTGTTCCCCAACAAGGTAACCCCACCCCATGCCCAAACTGCAGGAAGAAATAGATACTGTGTTTCCCCAACAAGCTACCCCCGGTGGCCAGATGTGGTTAGGTACTGAATTATGTGTGTAACCCCGGTGTCCAGATGGGTGTTGAGGTACTGATGTGTGTGTAACCCCGGTGCCAGATGTGTTGATGTACTGATGTTGTGTAATAACCCCGGGTGCCAGAGTGTGTTGAGTACTGATGTGTGTGTGTAACCCCGGTGCCAGAGTGTGGTACTGAATGTATTTGTACCCCGGTGCCGCCGATTGTGGTGAGGTACTGATGTGGTGTAACTCCACGGTGCCAGATGGTAGGTACTGATGTGTGTGTAAACCCCCGGTGCCAGATGTGGTAGGTACTGATGATGTGTAACCCCCCCTGTGCCAGATTGTTTAGGTACTGATGTGTGGTTAACCCCGGTGCCAGATGTGTTGAGGTACTGATGTGTGTGTAACCACCCCTGTGCCAGATGTGTTGAGGACTGATGTATGTGTAGCCCCCGTGCCAGATGTTAGTAAGTGTACTGATGTATGTGTAACCCCCGGTTCAGGCTCCTATCCAGTACGAAGCTCTGATGCAGATGGACTATCTGGACAGTGTGTTGAACGAGTCTCTGAGACTGTACCCAGTCTCCCCCCGACTAGAGAGGGTCGCCCAGAAGACGGTGGAGATCAACGGCATCGTCATCCCCCAAAGACTGCATTGTCATGGTTCCCACGTGGACCCTCCACCGCGACCCAGAGATCTGGTCCGACCCTGAGGATTTCACACCAGAGAGGGTACTGGACCGCACCGTAACCACGGCAACAACCACAATATAAACCATTTCACAACCCCAGCACAACCACAATTCAACCACAGCACACACCACAATACAACCATATCACAACCACAGCACAACACTACTTTACCAACACACTGCTGCAATATAACCACAACTAAGAATCAACTACAATACAATGTGTAATGTGGACTGAACCACAAAACCACAAATCACTACAGACAATGTGTAATGGTGTGACGTGGCAACCACCCCAACCACAAATCAACTACAATACAATGTGTAATGTGACTGAACCACAACCACAAATCAACTACAATATCAATGTGTATGTGACGGACCACATCACCACAAATAACTCAATACAATGTGTAATGTGGACGACACAAAAATCAATCTACAATTTAATTGACTGACCACAACCACAAATCAACTACAATGTAAATTGTGACGGAACCACAACCACAAATGCAACTACAATACAATGTGTATTGGACTGAAACCACAACCACAATCAACACAATACAATTTGTAATGTGATTGAACCACACCACATCAACTACAATTTAATTGTTGACCGGACCACAACCACAATTCAACTACCACTACAATGTGTAATGTGACTGAACCACCCACAAATCACTACAATTACACTGTGTAATGTGAATTGAACCACAACCAAAATCAACTAACATTAATGTGAACGAACCACACCACAAATCAACTACAATAAAATGTGGAAATGTGACTGAACGCACAACCCAAAATCAACTACAATTTGTGACTGAACCACAACCACAATTCAACTCCAATACATGTGTATGTGCTGAAAAGCCACAACCACAAATCAAAACTACAATACAAATGTGTAATGTTACTGAACACCACAACCCACAATCACTACAATCCAATGTGTAATGTTGACGGAACCTCAACCACAAATCAACGACCATGTAATGTGTCCTAACCACAACCACAAATCACTCCCTACATTTGGCAATGTGTCTGTTGCTGGTCCCTGCCCTCTCCCTTCCCAGGTTTCATTAATGGGGAACAAGGAGTCCCTATTGACCCCGTACAACAACGTACATGCCGTTCGGGGCGGGCCCAGGAACTGTATCGGGATGCGTTTCGCCCTGATCATGATCAAACTGGCCATGGTCGAGATCCTCCAGAGTTTCACATTCTCCGTCTGCGACGAGACCGAGGTGAGATGCTCACCTGAGCAGATGGAATATGACATCTCAAATATCAGTATCATTCATAGAGTTGGATAGAGGCTGCACTTACCCGCCAGCACTTGTTTTAACATGGTCAGCACCTGTTTTAACATGGACCTGTTTTAACATGGTAACCACCTGTTTTAAAAACATGGACCTGTTTTAGCATGGTCAACTACCTGTTCTAACATGGTCACGTAACTACCCTGTTTTAAAACTGGTCCACCCCACCTGTTTTTAACATGGACCCCTGTTTTAAGCATGGTCACCACCCTGTTTTAACATGGGACCCTGTTTTAAACATGGTCGACCACCCCGGTTTTAAACAGTTCAACACACCCCACCACCCCTGTTTTAACATGGTCACCACCCGGGGGGGAGGATGGTTTTTACTTCCCTCACCCCTTCCCCGTCCTTCGTTCCTCCCTTCCTTCTTCCTCGCATGGTCAACCCAAACCACCCACCTGGTTTTTAATTTTAAACCATGGACGTTTTTTAACATGTTCACCCCAGTTTTTATTAAACCAATGGAACTGTTTTCAGCCTGTCACCACCTGTTTTAACTGGACCCCCTGTTTTAAACAGGTCACCCCCACCAACCACACAACCCACACCACCGCCACCAGACCACCTGCAAACCACCCTGTTTTAGCATGGCCCTGATTTTAAACATGGTCACCACCTGTTTTAACATGGACTTTTTTACAATGGTCCCCACCTGTTTTAAACAATGGACCCCCCTTTTACAAAAAAAACATGTTCCTCTTTCCCTGTTTTTAAACATAACCAGGTTTTAAAAAAGCATTTGATCACCATACCTGTTTTAAAAATGTTCACCAACTGTTTTCTCATTGACCCCTGTGTTAAAACATGGTCACCACCTATTTCAACATTGACCCCCCTGTTTTTAAAACATGGTCACCACCTATTTAACATGGAACCTGTATCCGCATGGTCACCACCCTTTTTTAAATGTCACCACCCTTTTTTAGCTGGTCACACCCGCACTGTTTTTAATTATGTTCACCACCTGTTTTTAACATGGCCACCACCTGTTTAACATTGACCTGTTTTGGCATGTGTCACCACCTGTTTTAAATAAAACAATGGTCCACTACTACTGCCCTGTTTTAAATGTGAACAAAAAAGGAACCAGTTTTACCTGGTCAACAACCTGTTTTAAAATGGTCACCACCTGTTTATTCATTGACCTGTTTTAACATATCACCACCTATTTTAACATGGACCTGTTTTATAAACATGGTCCCCACCACCTATTTTAACATGTGGACCCCCCCTCCTCCCCCTTGTTTCACATTGTCACCACCACCTTTTTAAAATGGTCCCCGACCAAACGACTCAACCTGTTTTTAAACATTATTCTACCACTCCATCTGTTTAACATGGTCACCAACCTATTTTAACAATTGGTCACCAGCACCACCCCGTGTTTTAACATGGTCCCCCACCTGTTTTTTGTTAAACATGGTCAACCACCTATTTTAACATGGACCCTGTTTTTAACATGGGTCCCACCATATTTTAACATGGAACCTGTTTTTCAGCATGGTCCACCACCCAGTGTTTTAAATGGTCCACCTACCTTGTTTTACATGGTCACCACCTGTTTTACATGGTCCAAACCACCCTGTTTTCACATGGCCACCACCCTGGTTTTTATTAACATGGACCTGTTTTTTGGGCATGAATTGTATTGTCACCACCTGTTTTAAAAAAAAAAAAAAACCTGTTTTACAAATGGTCCCACCTGTTTTATCATGGTCACCACCTGTTTTAACAATTGGGGGGGTCACCACCTGTTTTAAACATGTTTGTCACCCCCCATCACGCACCACCTTTTTTCACATGGTCAATGGTCCCACCTATTTTTGCATGGACTGTTTTAATAACATAAAACAGGTCCACCACCTCTTTTAACATGGTCACCTCCCCACTTTTTGCCTGGAGACCCTGTTTTAAAACCTGGCCCACCTGTTTAACATGGGTCCACCTGTTTTAACATGGGAGGACCTTGTTTTGCATGTCACCACCTGTTTTAACTATGGTTTCCGACCTTTTTAACATGGTCACCACCTGTTTAAAAACATGGTCAAACCACCTGTTTTATCATGGACCTGTTTTAAAACATGGTCACCGCCTGTTTTAAAAAAGTGAAACCATTTGAACATGGTCACCAACTGTTTTAACATGGACCTGTTTTTAAAAACATGTGCACCACCCTGTTTTAAATGTCCCACCCTGTTTTAGCATGGTCACCACCTGTTTTAACATTGTCACCACCACCTGTTTTTACATGGGACCTGTTTTGCATGGTCACCACCTGTTTTTTAAAATGGTCACCACCCCTTTTTGTACATGGTCAAACCAAACCTGTTTTAAAACTTGTCACGCACCCTGTTTTAAAAACAGGGACGTGGTTTTTTTTTTTTTGGCATGGTCACCACCTGTTTTAAACATGGTTACCTCCCCTCACCGAAATCTTTTTTTTAACTGTCACCCCACCTTTTACATTGACCCTCCCCCTCTGTTATTTTTTTTTTTGCATGGTCACCAACCCCACCACCCCCGCGCGCCGTTCCCCCATACTCACCTGTTTCAACATGTGCACCACCTGTTTTCAACATGACGTGTTTTTGTGGGGTGTTTTTGGGGCAATGTCCACTCAACCCTTTTTTTTACTGGTTACCTCCTCGTTTTAAAAACATGTCCACCCCACCTTGTTTTTACATGGACCGTGTTTTGGCATGGTCACCACTCAACCTGTATTTAACATGGTCCACCAATCCACCTGTTTTTTAAACATGGTCACCACCTTTTTTAAAACATGGCCCCCCGTTTTGTAACATGTTCACCACCTGTTTTATTTAAAATTAAAAAAACATGGTCAACCACCTATTTTTGCATGGACACTCTGTGTTAAACATGGTCACCACCACACCAACCAACCCTGTTTTAACATGGTCCCCAAACCACCCATTTTTTGCCATGGACCTGTTTTTAAACATGGTCCCCACCACCTGTTTTTAACATGGTCACCACCCCTGTTTTAACATGGTCACCACCCCCCCACCACCCTTTTTAACGACATGGACCGTGTTTTTGGCCATTGTCCACCTGTTTTAAACATGTTTACCCACCTGTTTTACATGGTCCGCACCTGTTATTAACATGGTCACCACCTGTTTTTACTCATGGGACCTTTGTTTTAACATGGTCACCGCCTGTTTTAAGTGAAACCTATTTGAACATGGTCACCAACTTTTTTAAAACATGGACCTGTTTTAAACCTGCACCATACCAGTACCTTTTTTAACATGGTCAACCCCACCGGCCCCCCATCCCCACCGCCGTTTTTTGTAGCATGTTCACACCTGTTTTAACATGGTCACCACCTGTTTTACCATGGACCTGTTCTGCATGGTCACCACCTGGTTTAAAATGGTCACCACCTTTTTTAACATGGTCACCACCTGTTTTAACATGGTCACCACCTGTTTTAACATGGACGTGTTTTGGCATGGTCACCACCTGTTTTAACATGGTTACCTCCTGTTTTAACATGTCACCACCTGTTTTAACATGGACCTGTTTTTGCATGGTCACCACCTGTTTCAACATGGTCACCACCTGTTTTAACATGGACGTGTTTTGGCATGGTCACCATCTGTTTTAACATGGTTACCTCCTGTTTTAACATGTCACCACCTGTTTTAACATGGACCTGTTTTGGCATGGTCACCACCTGTTTTAACATGGTCACCACCTGTTTTAACATGGTCACCACCTGTTTTAACATGGTCACCACCTGTTTTAACATGGACCTGTTTTTTATACATGGTCACCTCCTGTTTTAACATTGTCACCACCTGTTTTAACATGGTCACCACCTGTTTTAACATGGTCACCACCTGTGACTAAAATGTAAATGTAATAAGGAAGAATCTCAATTGTCTTTCCTTGATTCCTCGCATTCTCTATCCCCGCCTCCTCCTCAAAACCCATTGGATGAGAAAGAATGCGAGGAATCAAGGAAATGCAATTGAGATTCTCCCTAGTCCTCTATTCAACGCTATGTTGACACTTCACACATAAAGACACTGGGGGGCGCTCTAGATCTGTGGTTAGGTTACTGTCTAATGGTTCAGGTCAGGACTATTCTTAGATCAGTGGTTATGTTACTGTCTAATGGTTCAGGTTAGGACTGGATCAGGGGAATCTGGTCCTAGATCAGTGATTAGGTTAGTGTGTAATGGTTTAGGTTAGTACTGGGTCAGGGGAATCTGGTCCTAGATCAGTGGTTAGGTTAGTGTGTAATGGTTAATCTAATCACACACACACACACACATAGCACGCATGCACACATTGTCCATCTCCAACATCCATATGCTCAGTTGTTCTGTCATGTTATTCTCTATAGATCCTGTTGGAGATGGACAACCAGGGTTATGTTATGTTCTGTTATTCCTATAGATCCTGTTGGAGATGGACAACAGGGTTATGTTATGTTCTGTTCTGTTATTCCTATAGATCCCGTTGGGAGATGGACAACCAGGGTTTCTGTTCTGGTTCTGTTATTCTCTATAGATCCTGTTGGAGATGGACAACCAGGGTTTCTGTTCTGTTCTGTTATTCTCTATAGATCCTTTGGGAGATGGACAACCAGGGTTATGTTCTGTTCTGTTATTCTCTATAGATCCTGTTTGGAGATGGACAACCATGGTTCTGTTCTGTTCTGTTATTCTCTATAATCCTGTTGGAGATGGAACGAACCAGGGGTTATGTTCTGTTCTGTTATTCCTCTATAGATCACGTTTGGGAGATAGGACAACCAGGGTTATTTCGTTGCTGTTCTGTTAGTTCTGCTAATCAGATCCTGTTAGGAGATAGGACAACCAGGGTTATGTTCTGTTCTGTTCTGTTATTCTCTATAGATCCTGTTGGAGATGGGACAAACCAGGGTATGTTAGTTCTGTTCTGTTATTCTCTCTAGAATCCTGTTGGAGATGGGAGCAACCAAGGGTTAGGTGTCTGTTGCGGTTATTCTCTATAGAATTCCTGTTGGATGATGGACAACCAAGGGTTATTGTTCTGTGCTGTTATTCTCTATAAGATCCGGTTGGAGATGGAGCAACCATGGTTATGTTCTGTTCTGTTATTCTCTATAGATCCTGTTGGAGATGGACACCAGGGTTATGTTCTGTTTCTGTTATTCTCTATAGATCCTGTTGGAGATGGACAACCAGGGTTTATGTTCTGTTCTGTTGTCTCTATAGATCCTGTTGGAGATGGACAACCAGGAGTTCTGTTCTGTTCTGTTATTCTCTATAGATCCTGTTGGAGATGGACAAACCTAGGGTTATTTCTGTTCTGTTATTCTCTATAGATCCTGTTGGAGATGGATAACCAGGGTTACTGTTCTGTTTCTGTTATTCTCTATAGATCCTGTTTGGAGATGGACAAACCTGGGGTTATGTTCTGTTCTGTTATTCTCTATAGATCCTGTTGGAGATGGATATCCAGGGTTATGTTCTGTTCTGTTATTCCCATAGATCCTGTTGGAGATGGACAACCAGGGTTCTGTTCTGTTCTGTTATTCTCTATAGATCCTGTTGGAGATGGGACAACCAGGTTATGTTCTGTTCTGTTATTCTCCTATAGATCCTGTTGGAGATGGACAACCCAGGGTTGTCTGTTCTGTTATTCTCTATAGATCCTGTTGGAGATGGACAACCAGGGTTATGTTCTGTTCTGTTATTCTCCATAGATCCTGTTGGAGATGGACAACCAGGGTTCTGTTCTGTTCTGTTATTCTCTATAGATCCTGTTGGAGATGGACAACCAGGGTTATGTTCTGTCATGTTATTCTCCATAGATCCTGTTGGAGATGGACAACCAGGGTTATGTTCTGTTCTGTTATTCTCTATAGATCCTGTTGGAGATGGACAGCCAGTTTCTGCTGATGCCTAAACGACCAATCAAACTGAGGCTGGCGCCCCGTAGCAACACCCCTAGCAACACCACCACCACCTCTCTGAAGAGTCCAAACACATGACCAAATGCAGGAGTACCCAACCCAACCCAACCCTACCATCTATCTATCTATCTATCTATCTATCTATCTATCTATCTATCTATCTATCTATCTATCTATCTATCTATCTATCTATCTATCTATCTGTCTAACATATGAGTCTATCTGTCTATCACACCATCTATCTATCACACTATCTATCTATCACTACCTACCTACCTACCTGTCACACTATCTATCTATACTGAACTAAAATAGAAACGCAACATGCAACAATTTCAAAACTGTTGCTGTGTTGCAGTTCATATAAGGAAATCAATCAATGGAAATAAATTCATTAGGCCCTAATCTATTGATTTCACATGACTGGGCAGAGGTGGCATTGCGTTGTGTGACAAAACTGCACATTTTAGAGTGGCCTTTTATTGTCCCCAGCACAAGGTGCACCTGTGTAATGATCATGCTGTTTAATCAGCTTCTTGATATGCCACACCTGTCAGGTGGATGGACTATCTTGACAAAGGATAAAATGCTCACTAACAGGGATGTAAACCAATTTGTGCAAAACATTTGAGAGAAATAAGCTTTTTGTGCGTATGGAACATTTCTGGGATCTTTTTTTTCAGCTCATGAAACCTTTTTGTTAAGTATCTATCTATCTATCAATCTATCATTGAATATTCAGTCCTTACCCTAACCCTGCTATATTCAATAGGTTTCTGAATATAATATGACAATAAGACTGCATTCATGATAAATGTAGCATTTGTCGGCTCAACTGGAAATGACCTTTAAATGGTGCATAGCTGACAAAGCGCTGGTATTGAATCCTGGTCTCAGTTTGATTAGGGCTCAGAAACACATTTTCACCAGATAAAAGAAAGATAGTAATACTATGGATGCATCAGGGGTACATGTCTTGTTAAAGTCAGACACCAGGGGTATTCAATCCATGGCAGATGTCATGTGTGGATCCTGCACACTACTGGCTGGAGGCTAGGATTCTCCTAGAATTTAGAACTCTAACTGGTGTTCTCTAGAACTCTACTCTCATTTTGTTCCTCTGGGTGTTCTGCTGTGCAGTCTTTCCAAAATAGAATCTTTACCGTCTGTTGAAATGATCGCTGCAGCTGCTTTGTTTTAAACTTTAATAATCACAAATCAATAAAAATCATCCCACTAAAGAACAAGGTCGTCTGTGTATTTATTAGCGTTCATAAATCAAAACATTATAGACGATAGTCTACTATAGGTATATTGGTATATCAGTGTTAAATTAAAATCTCTTTACCATCATATCTAACCCAATATGACACCAATCTCGATGAAAATTCGCAAATCAACTTGATTGGAGATAAACAACACACTCCCCGCCTCTCTTCATAAGCCGTCCGTCCATTACCGAGAACCACACATCGGAATTTTAACAGGGTCGTTAGCATTAGGGTTGTTGGACAATTTTTTGCCCAGAACTAGCTCAATATCTAGGCGTCGGATAAAAACGAGACTACAGTGTCCATAAAGTGACCATTAGACTACAGTGTCCATAAAGTCACCATTAGACTACAGTGTCCATAAAGTCACCATTAGACTACAGTGTCCATAAAGTCACCATTAGACTACAGTGTCCATAAAGTGACCATTAGACTACAGTGTCCATAAAGTGACCATTAGACTACAGTGTCCATAAAGTGACCATTAGACTACAGTGTCCATAAAGTGACCATTAGACTACAGTGTCCATAAAGTGACCATTAGACTACAGTGTCCATAAAGTCACCATAAGCCTACAGTGTCCATAAAGTCACCATTAGACTACAGTGTCCATACAGTCACCATTAGACTACAGTGTCCATAAAGTCACCATTAGACTACAGTGTCCATAAAGTCACCATTAGACTACAGTGTCCATAAAGTCACCATTAGACTACAGTGTCCATAAAGTCACCATTAGACTACAGTGTCCATAAAGTCCCCATTGGACTACAGTGTCCATAAAGTGACCATTAGACTACAGTGTCCATAAAGTCACCATTAGACTACAGTGTCCATAAAGTCACCATTAGACTACAGTGTCCATAAAGTGACCATTAGACTACAGTGTCCATAAAGTCACCATTAGACTACAGTGTCCATAAAGTCACCATTAGACTACAGTGTCCATAAAGTCACCATTAGACTACAGTATCCATAAAGTCACCATTAGACTACAGTGTCCATAAAGTCACCATTAGACTACAGTGTCCATAAAGTGACCATTAGACTACAGTGTCCATAAAGTCACCATTAGACTACAGTGTCCATAAAGTCACCATTAGACTACAGTGTCCATAAAGTCACCATTAGACTACAGTATCCATAAAGTCACCATTAGACTTGGCACCTTTTGGACTGAATACGTTTGTAGGGGCTCGGACTGGGGGGTATATACCGTATTTTACTATATACCGGAATTGATGCACGGACCGGTTTGGGTTTTTACTTTACCTTCTATAACGGTATTTGAATGTTTGGTTTGTTAAATGTGATCAGTGGTGGAAAAAGTACCCAAAAAGTAAAGATACCTTAATAGAAAATGACTCAAGTAAAAGTGAAAGTCACCCAGTAAAATACTACTTGAGTAAAAGTCTAAAAGTATTTGGTTTTAAATATACTTAAGTATCAAAAGTAAATGTAATTGCTCAAATATACTTAAGTATCAAAAGTCAAGTAAAAGTATAAATCATTTCAAATTCCTTAAATTAAGCAAACCAGACAGCACCATTTTTTATTTTTTATTTACGGATAGCCAGGGGCACACTCCAACACTCAGACATCATTTACAAACGAAGCATGTGTTTAGTGAGTCCTCCAGATCAGAGGCAGTAGGGATGACCAGGGATGTTCTCTTGATAAGTGTGTGAATTAGAATATTTTCCTGTCCTGCTAAGCATTCAAAATGTAACGAGTACTTTTGGGTGTCAGGGAAAATGTATGGAGTAAAAAGTACATAATTTTCTTTAGGAATGTAGTGAAGTAAAAGTTGTCAAAAATATAAATAGTAAAGTAAAGTACAGATACCCCCAAAAAAACTACTTAAGTAGTACTTTCAAGTATTTTTACTTAAGTACTTTACGCCACTGAATATGATAAACTGTGTGTAACGTCCATTTTAATAGTTTACCCCAGTACTTGAGTCATCTCTCTCCGCCCCATCTCTCTCGATGCCGCTTTCCACACAGACCTAAACCCGCCCCGTCACCCAAGGAGCGCATTTTGTTGTTCCTCGACCAGGAGACACTCGCGTTCAGTCTGCATGGTCAATGCAGCACATGCAACAATGTTGATGACTATGATGCTGTTTCCACTTTGCTTCTTAATATGAATACACAAGCGTTCTATAATTACACTATTCGTTAGTGTTTCTTACATCTGCAAACAGCTAGTTTGTCTTTTCTTAGCAAGTTGTGGCTAAGTCGTGTTAGCCGCTAATGCTAATCGCTAGCTAGCTAATAAATGTACTGAGTCAGACCAAACGTAGCTAGTTAATACAGCCTGGTACCAGTGATGGTGTAGGCCAAGATCAGCATGTTGTTTGTGCAACAGGAACTTCTAAATCAGAGGAATAGGCGAAGCAATAATTTGTTAGCTACATGAAGTAGCTAAGAGTAAAAAATGGTACATAGCCACAGTTTATAGGGTCCCCTAGGAAACACTGACCAACACTTTGGTTCCTACACTGTCATGTCAAACAACACTGTGTTCAAGTGGCCACTATTATCTTCTAACTATAGAATTAGAATAATCATTATTTTTTTCCATGATTCCAACAGTTCACCCAAGTATTTTGATCTAAATCGCAAGTCAAATCACAATTGCAACATTTGGTTAAATTTGGGGGGCGGCGCACAATTGGCTCAGCGTCGTCCAGGGTTGGGTGAGGGAATGGCCGGCAGGGATGTAGCTCAGTTGGTAGAGCATGGCGTTTGCAACGCCAGGGTTGTGGGTTCGATTCCCATGGGGGGCCAGTATGAAAGAAAATATATATATAAAAAATTATGTATGTACTCACTAACTGTAAGTCGCTCTGGATAAGAGCGTCTGCTAAATGACTAAACTGTAAATGTTAAATGTTAAAAGTAAGGCAGAGATGTTTTACCCATATTGTGCGGGACTACGTGGCAGTGTGGAAATGATCTCAAATGAGTGCAGGAAATGCAGAAATTTATGAAAATTATTTTTGGGTTGAAGTTGTAATTGAACACTATAAAACAATCAGAATGGAGAAAGATCCCACTGAAAATCACTTAGAATGTATGTGTTGCCACCCTAGGGTCACACACTACTCATAAAGCAAATGTATAACTTTTATTATTCAAAAACATAAAATACCGTCAAAAAGCACCATCAATTTGAAAAATATGTGATCATAAATTTGTGATATAATATTTTGGCCATATCGCCCAACCCTAGAAGGGGCAACAGTTTTGATTTCATTTATAATTCATCTCTCTCACGTTGCTCATTCGTCCGTTAAGAACGAATGATGTGCTACCGTTTTGTAGCATTTCTGACAATGCTAATGTAGCCGGCGCGGTCTGCTCGTTGCCGACTACTGCGTTGTGTTCCGGTGCACTGAAGACAACACGCTGGCGTACTTGAAGGCACTTTATTGTGTACAACTCTCTCAATCTGTTCAACATCAAAGAGAGAAAATGTTCAAAACTCTACCCTCGACCAGAATCCGCCTTTCCCAGCCGAGTACAATGCAGACTCAATATAATCACATTCAAAAATACAAGGAATAAAATACAACATCATTGGAAAATAAACATTGCATCTGGTGTATATCTTATGTATGTGTCATATTCATGTTATCTCTGCCAAAAACTCTGAGCTTTTGGCCTTTACATTAATACTGTGCAACATGACATAAACCATCTTTCAAATAGGTAATACATACAGTAATATGCACGAAGCAACATGTAATCCTTCACATTTGAGCTTTTCAGTGCCATTAAACACTAATCAATACATGAAAACATTTTAAATGAACACATTTTTAACCTGATATAGGGAATACATACCTGTTCAACATCAA